GTGGTGTGAAAATGGGTTGAAGAGTGGCTAGGGTTTCACTCTTCAATCCTTGATATAACATAAAATTATATATAGTTTCCCATTTTGTCCTTGCACTTTCTTTAAAATTCCATCTATGTCCCTTAGTCAATTACCATAATGCCCTCATTTTTATTGCATTCTCTATGAAATTCTATCTCTTTTCACTCCCCACAATTTCAACTAATTTTGAGTGAAAAGACCATTTTACCCTTAATGCAAGTTTAAGGCATTTTCTTCACATTTTCTCAAAATAACTTTAGCAAAAATCAACTAAAGGTATAAGAGCATAAATTAAATTACGTACCTCCATGTGGGCGTTACAATTCTCCCCCTTCCATACTTGTAAAACAGCTTTGCCATTAAGGTATTCTAAGTGAAAGGTCCTCAATACGAGTTGTTCTAAGATCTTGAAAAGACCTTCCCTTTTGGGCCCAAGTGCCCCCAAGTTTGTATTATGTGTTCTGGGGATGACCTTTCTTAGGACTAGGTCACCCACCCCGAAGTCTCGGTTGTTGACTTTTGAGTTGAAGTATCTCTTCATTCGCTATTGGTATGAGGCAACTCTCAATTGAGACTTTGCCTAATGTTCTTCAATTAGATCCAGCCTTAAACGAAAAAGATCTTCGTTTGCTTCTCCATAAAAAACCTTTCATCGAAATGAGCTGACCCCATCTTCAATTGAAGCCATTGCATCACATCCATAAGAAAACAAAAACGGGGTCTCTCTTGTCGAGCTTCTGGTTGTGGTTCTGTATGACCATAAAGTCTCAAGTAGCTCATTTGCTGTTAGAGTCATGAAAGTGACTATTTTGGTGATAAAAAGACCCTATGTGTGATTAAAATGAAATCATATTGAGATAATTAAAGAATTTATGAATTTATTCACGAAAATCACTTCCTAATATTTTTCTTATGAATTTAACATGTTTGGAATGATTTTGGAAAGGGTATGAGTTGATATTAGGCTGTGGTTTATAGATTAGGGGTGTTTTTGTCTCATTTATGCTGTTTAGGGGGTAAACTCGCATATTTAAAAGGGTTGATTTTGTCACTTTTCAATCATGTAGGGACCAAAGTGATATTCTCCACTTTGTACATAAAAAGAACACGAAGGGTCGCAAACGAGGAGGCTGTTCATCCAGTTTTTTTGGTGACCTCCGGTGACCTTTCATGTCCTTTTTCGGTGACCTTTCGGCTTCCCCGTGCACCGATCATCATCATCTCGTCGACACCACCGCAAATCACGCCATTTTCTAGTGACTCTTCGCATTCCAACCATCGTTGGCCATTTTTCGGTGACCTCCGATGATGTTTCACCTCCCTGGTGGTTGATCTTCCTTCCCCATACTCGGATCTATCCATTCCAAGCTTTTACTGTTGCCAAAAATGCCAGAATCCACCATCACCGCCGTCGCATCTCTTCACCTTCTAGTCGAGATCTCTGCCATTTTCGACGACCTTTCATCTCCTTCAGACCTGATCTAAACTCCCCATCACCTGAGCTTTCCATTGGTACCTTCGGATCTCATTTCCGCAATAATTTGCCCGAAGACGCACCGAAAAGCTAACGTATTTCGATGAGTGCAACTGTTCATATTTCGGGCTGTCCGTTGGTTGTTTTTGCTCCTTCTTTGCATATATCGCTATCGGTTACTTCCTCTTCGCCATGACCAGCTTCGTTTCCACCGCTTCAGCCTCCATCGACACCACCATGAGCAGCTCAGTGCTCGGTTTTCTGTTACAGCGTAGGCAAGATCGAGATTGACTCCACTGCTCTCCTCATCAGCTCTTGACTAGTTGGATGAGCCTGATTTTAGGACATTTGGTAGTATTGTGTTTCGAATTATATTTTTTTTTGTTTCATGTTTGATTTCGATGCTTTAATATGGTTTGAGCATAATTTGTGATGAATATTGTCGCCCATTGTGATTAAATGTTTTCATAGAACTTACTGAATAATAGACATTGGTTTGAGATAATTAAATGATGAATATTGCTTTTCATTACTTCGCATCGATTGTAATTGAGTTGTGTTCGGATTTAATATCATTTCTACTGTTGTTGTGTTTATTATGAAGTTGATTGATTGGATGATACGTTTTGACAAATTATATTTGTTAATCACGTACCAACTAGTGGTATTGTCTTGTAGTGTTTGTGGCCATCAATGATAGTCTTTAACTAATCGAACTTGAGTGATCGGGTGAGATATGATAGATTATACCTAGAGTGCCGGCAAGCCATTTCATTGATTTGCCTTGCCTTGTAGGCTTAGGGGATCGTAGAGGGTGGAGGAGAACTGTGTGAGTTGGTCTCGTGTCGAACCAAAACCGTAACAACAAAGTTTTTATTATAAAGTTTTCATTAGTTTTGATTTCAAGCTTTTATTATTTACATTTAGTTTGTTTAGTTTATTAATCAAAATTGCCAATTTCATTTCCACTACTCAAATATACATTAGGTTGTTAGTCTTGATCTCTGTGGATTCGACCCTGCTTACCGCTAACTACGGTATTTAGGTTTAATTTTGTGGCTATGACGACTGGTTCGACAAAAATTTGGCGCCGTTGTTGGGGAGCAACGTGCTTTCAACTTTGTGTGTTTGGGTAGTCATTAGTTTTTGATTCTAGGTTTATTTTAGTTGTTGTTTTTGTTTGTGTTATGTTCTTTGCAGTGATTATTTGTTTGGGTGAATTGTTTAATTTTTGTGTTCCTTTTAGTTTGTCTCTTTGCATTTTTTTTGGTTAATTATTTTCTTATTAGGTTGTTTGCATAATTTCATTTTATTTTCATTGGAATAGTTTCATTTGTTGTTGTTTTTGTTTTGCAGGAAAATTGGAATTGAGAAAACGCTGCAGCATGTCGTGAGCATTAAAGATCTAGCATGACCTGATTGTGAAATTCTGTTAACCTTTTATTTCTTAGTCATTTTGATTAATTAGTAATAGCTTTTGCCTTATTTTCATGATTTGTTTTATTCCTAGGATTTAATTTTTGTTAGTATTAATTTCTTTTAGGTTGCATTGATAGCTTTAGTTTTGAATAAAAATATTTGTTGTGTGAAATTTTGTTGGGTATAGTTTTATTAGATTTTAGATTTGTTTTAGTTTTGTTTCGTGTGCTTATTAAAATTTGTTTCTTAGGATTTGTATTTAGCTAATTTTCTTTGAGATTGTTGTTGAGTTGCTTGTTGAGCCTTTTTGTGTTTGATTGATGAATGCAAACTAGAAGGTCTTGTAATGAAGAGTTATTACCTTTGAATCTTGAAATTGAACGCACTTGTAAGAGGAATAGAAAACAAGCAGGTAGGATAGCTGACCAGGATGCACCCGCACATGTGCCCCTTAGCCAACATTTTGCACCCACCACCTACACTTCAGCCTCATGTATCCGTATCCCTAATGTCCAGGCACAACATTATGAGATCAAAACTAGTATCATCCAATTGTTGCCAATTTATTATGAGAATTTAAATGAGGAGCCATACAAACACTTAGATGAATTTTTAGAGGTTTGCTCCACAGTTAGGCTTCAAAATGTGAATGAAGATGTCGTGCGCATAATTTTATTCCCATTCTCACTTAAGGATCAAGCCAAACAATGGCTCAATTCTTTGGCAGCAGGGTCTATTGTCTCTTAGGCCCCAATTCAACAAGGATTCCTAAAAAAGTATTATCCCATTGGTAAAACCAACAGCATAAGACGAGCCATCACTAGTTTCACTCAACTAGATGGCGAGGAATTTTATGAGAGTTGGGAATGTTTGAAGGAAATGCTTAGGAAGTGTCCCCATCACACAGTCCGTAGGTGGCAATTAGTTCATAGTTTTTATGATGGACTAACCGAGAGGCATAGGAATATGGTAGACGCCTCTTATGGAGGACCATTTATTCACAAGGATAAGAATGAGTTATGGCAACTCTTCAGGACCTTAAGTGAAAATTCAATGCACCATATTTCTACGTCTAGAATGCCTATCTCAGGGCAGCCATCCAAGAAGAGTGGCATGTATGAGGTCTCACGGTTAGATGACATTAGTTCCAAGCTAGAGGTGTTGGCCCATCGATTTGACCAGTTTGTATCTATACAAGGGCAACCCTCTACACAATCATCTCAGAATAGGGCGAACCAGGATGTTTTTTCCATGCACTCCACTCTTGACCATCCAATTGAGGAACTCGCCCCTAACCCTTTTGAGGAGCAAGTGCAGGTTACACAAAGCTTCCAGAGACGGAGCAATCCGTACTCGAACACGTACAATCTTAGGTGGCGTAACCACCCTAATTTTTCATGGAAGCCATAACCACCTTAGAATGTCCCGAATAATATGCCATATAGGAACAATTCTTCCAATCAGCAGGGCAATTATAGGGAGCAACCTTCAATCCAACCACTTATCCAACCACCTATCCAACCTAGGATCCCACCTCCCATTCAACAACTCACTCCAGTGCCTAGTTCACTAGAATCAATGATGGCTCAAATGCTCCTAACCATGCAGGAACAAAAAGCCGACATGAATGCTAGGTTCCAAGATTTAGAGCAGAATACCCAACTTCTACATTCTTATTCCCAATCCATTAGTAAGCTAGAGACCCAGATTGGTCAAATAGCTGAAGCAGTCAATAGGAGGGAACAAGGCCAATTGCCTAGTCAAGTCATAGGTAACCCTAGTGGTTCTTCTCAATAGAGAGGGTTTTCTTTCCGAACAAGCTAAGGCCGTGATGACTCTTCGGAGCGGTTGAGAGCTAATTAGGCCTGAGAAGGAAGTAAAAGTCTAGGGTAGAGATGAGGAAAGTCTAGGTAGGGACCAAGCCAAAGAGAGTGAGAGTGAGCCACTTGTAGAGTCAAGTGTTCAGAGACCGGGTAAGGAGAAAGTTTGGGAGAATGAACCATCCCCTGCATCGTACATACTGAGAGCACCATTTCCTCAATGCTTAGAGCCCCCAAATGTTTCCATTACTAGGAAAAACGTTAGGATGGAGGAAATGATTGAGTTGTTTAAGCAGGTGCAGATTAACATTCCACTCTTAAATGCCTTTAAGCAAGTGCCTGCTTATGCCAAATTCCTCAAAGACTTGTGCACACAAAAGAGGCGATTGAAATCTCACACACCCAAGACTGTACATTTACTGGAAAATGTAAGTGTGGTCGTCTCAAACCGCCTTCCCCCAAAGTTAAAGGATCATGGAGCTCCTATTATTTCTTGTGTGATAGGTAATGTCACAATTGATAGAACACTTTTAGACTTAGGGGCGAGCGTGAACTTATTACCCACTTTTGTGTATGAACAGTTTAACTTAGGTGAGCTCAAGTCTACTAAAGTCATCTTGCAGTTAGCTGACCGATCGGTCAAAATGCCTAGGGGTCTAATTGAGGACGTGTTAGTTAAGGTTGAGGAACTATATTTTCCGGTGGATTTTCTTGTCTTAGACATGGAGTATACGAGCAGTGGAAGTATGCCTCCGATTATTTTAGGAAGACCTTTTCTAGCAATGGCAAATGCTTGCATTAACTGTAGATCATGAGAGATGGAAGTGTCTTTTGGGAATAGGAAACTGAGACTTAATGTATTTAATGCTGGTTTAGGGTCGATGCATGAGGACGATAACGCGTGTTTCATGGTTGATGTTATTGACAGTCTAGTGGAGGCTCACGCCCTATAGATTTTATGTGATGATGCGATTTACACTCTTATGAATCTGTTTGTTGAGGAGATATGTAGCTTGAGTGTCGTTTCTGAGATTCAGGAGGTTAGTGCGTATATGGCTAGGTCACCCACTCTAGAGCGTTGACCTTGGAACATTAAGTATGAACCCTTACCACCTTTGTCTAAGACGACACAACCAAGGTCAATTGAGTCTCCACCAGTCTTAGAGTTGAAGGCCTTGCCTGATACTCTAAAGTATGTTTTCCTAGGACCCAACAAGACCTTACCGGTGATCATTGCCGCCAACTTAGATAGTGAGCAAAAGGAGAGATTAGTGGCGATCTTGGTAGCACATAAGGAAGCAATCAGTTGGTCGGTAGCTGATTTGCAAGGGATTAGCCCTTCTTTGTGCATGCATCGTATATTTTGTGAAGAGAATGCTAAACCAGTGCATGAAGCTCAAAGAAGGTTAAACCCGAACATGAAGGAGGTGGTGAAGAAAGAGGTGATCAAATGGCTTGATGTGGGTATCATCTACCCTATATCTGATAGCTAATGGGTGAGTCCAACCCATGTTGTACCTAAGAAGACTGGCCTCACCGTTGTTGAAAATGAAAAAGGTGAGCGAATTCCTACCCGTACTCCCACAGGATGGAGAGTTTGCATTGACTATAGGAAGCTCAACCTAGCCACTAGGAAGGATCATTTCTCACTCCCATTTATTGACCAAATCTTAGAAAAACTTGCAAGGTAGACTTTCTATTGTTTTTTGGATGACTATTCCGGATATAACCAAGTACCAGTTGCTCCCGAAAACCAGGAAAAGACCACGTTCACATGTCCTTTTGGTATGTTTGCCTTTCGTCGCATGCCTTTCGGGTTATGCAATGCACCAACAACGTTTCAAAGGTGCATGTCAGCGATATTTTCTGACATGGTGGGTCAATTCTTTGAACAAAAACTTGATGCGTGTTTACTACAACATGCAAAACTAGCAAGTGCACTAGTTGCTCAAGTAATAAAGTGATGGGTAGGATATCGTTCCCACGAGGACTGTAGCAAAGCACTAAGTTTCCTAACGTTATCAAGTTGAAGTAATTGAATTCCTTGGATTGGTGGGAGCAAATTGTAATGAAAAAGAAGACAAAAATGAAATTTAACAAAGAATTAAATCTTAACTAAGAAGGCAAAATGAAACACAGAATATCAATTCAAGCAAAACGGGTAGGGTTTTGACTTCGTTTGGACTTTTATGGGTTAAATCGAAGAGTTTCACTATTTTCACATTCATGCGCAATGGTTGTAAATCGGATTCACTAATATGTTAACATACCCTCTCGGGCTATGTTTACCTATTCATCCTTATTAACATTCCGCACCCAACAAAATGAAGGTTAATAATTCTAAATTCATTAAGCACAAGAATCCTAAATTGATTTCATTAATTCTTGAATCTATCTCTAGCATCCAATACTATAATGGTAATTACCCAAGAAGCTTAACATGAATTATTTCTCAATCTCATCATGTTCATCACATACAGCATTTAATTTCATAGTAACACACAACCAAAGCTTATTCACATGGAAATAACANAATAGGGATCTGTATTAAGTTGAATATTATGCCTGAATAAGGATAATTGGCCTTAGAAGAATCCTACCAATTCATAGCACAAACAGGTATTATGAGTGGTTGTCAAACATAATTAGGGGGAAATCTATACCCTAACTTCATTAATATTGCAAAGTTCATCACATTATTTATTTGTTTAATTTAGTTATTTTTAATCTGTTACTTTTACATTCTAAGATTTCGTTTTCTCAAATAACGTGTAAGTAGTTTTAGGTAATTACAAATATTCGCTTTGATCTCTGTGGGACGATACTCAAACTCATCACTTTATTACTTGAACACGACTAGTGCACTTGCTATGGTTGATTTAGTCGCATCAAGTTTTTGGTCCATCAATCTTCTTGTTTAATGCCTACATTTGTGCTGCCAAAGCTGTGATAGCATCTATGTTATGAACACCTGATGTTCTTCTCATAGGGAACCTCTCTATCGGCCATTGATAAGAGTTTGAAGCCATTTCCTCCAGCAATTCATAAGCTTGTTCTGGTGTCTTCTTACCTAAAGTACCACCTGCAGCGACATTGATCATATTTCGAACTTCACTATTAAGACCGTTATAGAATGTCTGGACTTGCAGCCAAACCGGTAATTCATGGTGGGGTTGTAGGTGATCATAGAGAAGAAGTTTTGTAGAAGGACTCTTTGGAGAGATGTCTAATGGAGTCAAGCACAACAGAAGATGAAGACCCGTGCTTGAGAGAAGAAGCTGAAGCATTAGAGAAAGAATCTTTGACTGATAATAATATGGAGCTAAAGGAGGATTTGCATAAAACTCCTAATGAGACTCCTAAACTTGAGCTTAAACCTCTTCCTTCACATTTAAAATATGCTTTTCTAGATAAAGATGCTTACCCTGTGATTATTTCTGCATCTTTGACAGATTTGGAGGAGAAGTCACTGCTAGACATTTTGAGGAAGCACAAGAAGGCGATGGGATGGACAATTGCTGATATCAAGGGAATAAGCCCTTCCATATGCATGCATAAGATCCTCATGGAAGAGAATTTCAAGCCAACAATACAACCACAAAGGAGATTAAATCCTGCCATGGAAGAAGTGGTACGAAAAGAAGTGGTAAAATTACTCGATGCAGGTATTATTTATCCTATCTCTGATAGTAATTAGGTTAGTCCTGTGCAAGTAGTGCCTAAGAAAGGGGGAATGACTATAGTGAAGAATGAAAATAATGAGCTTATCCCCACTAGGATGGTAACTAGATGGCGTGTGTGTATAGATTATAGAAGATTAAATTCTGCCACTAGAAAAGACCATTTCCCGTTGCCATTTATTGATCAAATGTTAGAGAGATTAGCTGGTAATAAATTTTACTGTTTTCTTGATGGCTATTCTGGTTATTATCAAATTCCTATTGCTCCAGAGGACCAAGAGAAAACAACATTTACTTGTCCTTATGGCACGTTCGCTTATCGACGTATGCCATTTGGTTTATGTAATGCACCAGCTACTTTCCAACGTTGCATGATGACAATTTTCTCTGACATGACTGAAAAATTTCTGGAAATTTTCATGGATGATTTTACGTTGTATGGACTAACCTTTGAATCTTGTTTGCAAAATCTTGCATTAGTTTTACAGCATTGTGAGGAATCAAATCTTGTGTTGAATTGGGAGAAGTGCCATTTTATGGTAGGAGAAGTAAGATCTCTGAGCGAGGGATTGAGGTCGATAAAGCAAAAGTGGACGTGATTGAAAAATTACCTCCCCCAACGATGGTTCGAGCAGTCAGAAGTTTCCTTGGCGATGCAGGACTTTATATAAGATTTATTAAAGATTTCTCAAAAATTGCAAAACCTCTATCTAATCTTCTTGCCAAGGATGTAAAATTTAACTTTGATTTTGAATGTTTGCAGGCCTTTAATTTGCTGAAGGAGAAGCTAGTGACAGCACCAACAGTGGTCGCACTGGATTGGAACAACCCCTTTGAAATTATGTGTGACGCGAGTGACTACGCCATCGGTGCTGCTCTCGGTCAAAGGAAAGACAAAATGTTTCAGGTCATATCCTATACCAGTCATACCTTAAATGGTCCGCAATTGAACTACACAACAACCGAGAAAGAATTACTAGCAGTGGTCTTTGCATTCGAGAAGTTTAGATCTTACCTCATAGGCACGAAATCCATAGTCTACACAGATCATGCAGCTTTACGACATTTTTTTGCTAAGAAGGATGCCAAACCACGCCTTATCAGATGGGTCCTTCTACTTCAAGAGTTTGATTTGGAGATTAAAGATCAAAAGGGGACAGAAAATCAAGTTGCTGATCATTTATCCCGACTAGATAATTCAATCCTTGAAGAGGAAGATATTAGTGCAGAATTTCCTGATGAGCAAATTCTATCTCTTAACTCTTCTTTTTCTAAATCTCCATGGTTTGCTGATTTGGCTAATTTTCTTGCAGGAGGCTGGATTCCAAAGCATTTTGCATTCCAGCAAAGGAATAAATTTTTGGCTGATGTCAAATATTATTTGTGGGAAGGCCCTTACTTGTACAAACTATGTGTAGATCAAGTTGTTCGAAAATGTGTGCCGGAAGAAGAGATTGGATCTATTTTGAGTCATTGCCATGATAGAGAAACCAAAGGGCATTTCGGGGCGAATCGTACAGCGGCAAAGGTGTTGCAATCAGGTTTTTATTGGCCCACTGTGTTTCAGGATGCTCAAAGGTATGTATCCTCTTGTAATCATTGCCAAAGAACAGGTAATATTTCTAAGAAAGATGAGATGCCTTTAAATAATATATTGGTATGTGAAATTTTTTATATTTGGGGTATTGATTTCATGGGACCGTTTCCATCATCGTATGGAAACGCTTTTATACTTGTGGCGGTAGATTACGTTTCTAAATGGGTGGAGGCAATTGCCACCAAAACTAATGATTCTAGAACAGTACTCCAATTCCTTAGACGAAATATTTTCACTAGATATGGAACTCCTAGGGCAATCATTAGTGATGGTGGGAAGCATTTTTGTAATCACCAATTTAATGCACTCTTAAAGAAATATGGAGTCACACACAAGGTAGCCACTCCCTACCATGCCCAAACTAGTGGTCAAGTAGAGGTCTCTAATAGAGAGCTAAAACGAATTTTAGAAAAGACCGTTAGTGCCTCTAGAAAAGATTGGGCGAATAAGTTTAACGACTGCTTTATGGGCATATAGGACAGCCTTTAAAACACCTATAGTAGGTCACCTTATAGGTTAGTATTTGGAAAAGCATGTCACCTACCGGTAGAATTAGAGCACAAAGCTTATTGGGCTACTAAATTTTTGAATTTTGATGTGCAAAGTGTAGGTGCAACGTCTTTTGCAGGTGAGTGAGCTAGATGAATTTCGTCATTGGCATCGAAGTGCTAGTTTG